AAAGATTTATGTAGGTCATATAACAGAGAGGCTATATTTTAATACTTCAAAACCTCAAAATCATCTATTTTATTTCTTTATATCTCTTTATACCTCTAATATAAATTCTAGATGCCATAATTCTATTTACATTTTTTAACTTAGTAATTGTCTGTCTTTATCACTTTTTTTTTGTTGGTTATGCAAATTAATGGGTTTAGCTGTGGCAGATTCGTACATACACATAATATTTTTTTATCAAGTTAACCCCCAAAAAAACCCTAGTTTCACATTTTTAGGAGTTTCAATATGTATATTTTGCTCATATTCACTCCCTTCTTACCTAACCTATACATACATTCTCCCTCTTATTCCCTTCCACTTGCTTAATAAGAGTCTCCCTTCTATTTTTATGTCATCATTTTTAGATTCCACATATTAGGAAGGATATGTGATATTTGTCTTTCTGAGTCTGACTTGCTTCGTTCGATATGATGGGCTCCATAGATTCCATAATTCTTTTTTGAGGAGGTGGTAAGAGACAGGGTCTAGCTACTTAGCTCAGGCTGGCCTTGAACTCACAGAGATCCTCCTGCCTCAGCCTCCAAAGGGCTGAGATAACAGAACTGCACCACCATGCCTTGGAGATTCCATAATTCTAAAAGATTTTAAAATTTTATTGAGCTAGGTATAATGGAAAATGACGATAATCCTAACTAGTAGAGAGGCTGAGGTGGGAAGATGGGCAGCCTGGACAAATTAGTGAGACTTTGTTTCAAAAAATAAAAAGGGATAGGGGAATAGCTTAATAGCAGAGCACTTGCCCAGCACACATGAGGCCCTCAGTCCAATCTTCAGTACCACTTTTCAAAAAGCTTATTGATTGATTTTAGAGATTTGCAGATAAGTTGCTAAAAATGATCATTGAAAAATGTGAATGTAGTTCTGTTTATTATCTCATTTCAATAACGTAACCAAATCTGTACTACATGCTTCAATTTGTTTTCAGTTGGGCCGGGGATATAGCTCAGCAGCACAAGTGCATGCCTGGCAAGCCTAAGGTCCTGAGTTCGATTCCCAGTACTAAAAAACCAAAAAGAAAGTAATTTGTTTTCAGTGAATGTCACAAGAATATTACTCAAAACAAAGAGGGTATTTTGGGAAGAGGATTTAAGGAGCTCCCGCTGTAAAATAGCATTAGCAGTTTCCTTACTCTGATCTTTAAAAATATCTGTTCTTTGGAGCTAAAAATAACTAATCATTTCATTACATACCAAGATTATATCACTATTATTTCACCACTTACTCTTCTAACATATCATTCACCCATATTTCAATTGCTGTCACAAAACAGATAATATGAATATCTACTCTTCTATCAAATACAATGATTCTAACTTAATGAATCAATTTCTGAAAGTCTAACTTGATGGCTAAAATAATACAAATGTAGATCAATATTCTGTTTTTTCCATTAGCCTCACCAAGTAAATAAAAATTTTGTCTTTAGTTCTGTTTGGATTCTTATGTCCAAAGATAACCCCTACTTTCAAGAGCTTAATCTGATATGTGAAATTCCTTATTTCAGAAGCTGTAAAACTTGATGTAGAAATATTACTGAATATATTTTTGCCTTAATTTGGATATTTTCTCCATATTCTTTCTTTTTTTAAAATTTATTTAAAAGAGTAAAAGAAGGATAACATAGTAATAGGGGAATTTACTGAATTACAGACAAAGTGGTAGGACATTATCAATGGTTGTTATTTTACCTATTGGTATCTTCAAGATAGTTTCTCAGGAAAACAAATAGACAAATAATAGTGAGTTACAGACAAAAATGGTAGGAAATTATCAATGGTTGTTGTACTATACTTTGTTTCTTCAAAGTGGTCCCTAGGGAAAACAAATAGAGCTATACATGAGTGACCAATT